CATTCCTGGAGATTCTCACAGAGGAGAGGCAAACTCAAAGTCAAGTCCAGTTGTTCAGAGGAGAAAAACAGGCTCAACTCGAAGACCTCTCAAAGGAAATAAAGGACAAAGAAAAGGACGAGAGCTTCAAGATGAAAATGAGACATTTAATAATGAAATTATGCTTGATTTAGAGAAAGAAATATTTAGTTTGGAGAATGAACCCTGTCCAGATGAATCTACATTAGAAAGCATAAAAGATGAACTTCTTGTTGAAGAGTCTGAATCTGCTCTCAATCAGTCATCATATAATTCAGATTCAGTGTCTAAAGATTCCACTGCATTGAGTGTCTGTAACATAAAAGAATCACAAACCCTTGCAAAAGTTCAAGAAGAGTCCAAGTATAATGCTGGAGATGTCAAAAGAGTAGCAGCAGATGGAGACACTGATTTACAATTAGAAACTGAATCACAAAACCACACTTTTAACTCAACCATTAAAGAAGAAAACACCCATGCTGTAAATGTTTTAGTCAGAGAAGCTGAAGTCATTGAAGAATCAGTTAAAGTGGATTGTAATGTGACTGCAGAGTCAGATGTGCTTCAAAATGAATTTTTTGCTGATGCACAATTGGAAACATTGCAAGTATCTGAAGATACTGAGGATATTTTTACTGTGGCGGATTCTGATCTTCTAGTGCAACATGAAGCCACTGAAGAAGCTGGAGAAACCAACTCAATTCCTAAACAAAGTGGCATCAGCATCAGTCCTGGAGATTCTCACAGAGAAGAGGAAAACTCAAAGTCAAGTCCGGTTGTTCCGAGACGAAAAATGGGCTCAACTCGAAGACCTCTCAAAGAAAATAAAGGACAAAGAAAAGGACGAGAGCTTCATGATGAAAATGAGACATTTAGTAGTGAAATTATGCTTAATGTAGAGAAAGAAACATTTATGTTAGATAATGAACGCTGTCCAGATGAATCTACATTACAAAACATAAAAGATGGAGCTGAAGAACAGGAGACGGAAATGTGTGTGAAGAATGATGCTGGTGTTGTTGAAGAGTCTGAATCTGCTCTCATTCAGTCATCATACGGTTCAGATTTAGTGTCTGAAGAATCCACTGCATTAAGAATATGTAACATCACAAAATCACAAACCCTCACAGAAATTCAAGAAGAGTCCCAGGAAAATGCTGATGGAGAGCCAGTAGATGGAGACTTTAAACCACAAAGGAAAGGACAAGAGTATCCTGATGAAAATGACACAGATGACAGTAAAAACATGATTAAAGTAGAGACACCAATCTTCAGTTTGGATGATCAACCTAATCCAGATGAATTTACATTAGAAAGCTCTATAGATGGAGCTGAAGCACACAAGATTAACATGTTTATAAAAAATGATGTTGGTCTTGTTGAGGAATCTGAATCTGCTTTTATTCAGTTATCTAATGTGTCAGATTTGGGGCCTGAAGAATCCACTGCATTGACTGTCTGTAACATAACAGAATCGCAAACCCTCACAAATATCCCTGAGGAGTCCTTGGAAATATTTGGGGATGTTGAAAGAGAAGCAGTAGATGGAGACACAGACTTACAATTACAAACCGAGCCACATAACCAAACATTTGCCTCAAGCAGTAAAGCAGAAGAAAACATCCATGATGGAAATGTTTTAGTCAGAGAAGCCGACGTTATTGGAGAATCAGTTAAAGTGGATAGTAATGTGACTGCAGAGTCAGATGTGCTTCAAAAAGACACTTTAGCTGATGCAAAATTGGAAATATTTCAGCTATTTGAAAATACTGATGTTTCTGCTGTGACTGATTCTGATCTTCAAGTGCAACAGGAAGCCATGGAAGAACCAGGAGAAACCAACTCAATTCCTGAACAAAGTAGCATCAATGTCATTCCAAGTCCAGTTGTTCAGAGAAGAAAAATAGGCTCAACTCGAAGACCTCTAAAAGGGAATAATGTGACTGCAGTGTCAGATGTGCTTCAAAAAGCCACTTTAGCTGATGCAAAATGGGAAAAAGACAATGTATCTGAAAATACTGAGAGTCTTTCAGCTGTGACCGATTCTGATCTTTTACTTCAACATCATGGCACTGAAGGAGCAGGAGAAACAGACTCAAATACTAAACAAAGTGGCATCAGCATCATCCCTGGAGATCTTCAAAGAAAAGAGACAAACTTAGAGTCAAGTCCAGTTGTTCAGAGGAGAAAAATGGGCTCAACTCGAAGACCTCTCAAAGGAAATAAAGGACAAAGAAAAGGACAAGAGCTTCATGATGAAAATGAAACATTTAACAGTGAATTTTTGCTTGATGTAGAAAAAGAAACATTTAGTTTGGAGAATGAACCCTGTCCAGATGAATCCACATTACAAAACATAAAGGATGGAGCTGAAGAACAGGAGAAGGAAATATGTTTGGAAAATGATGTTGGTTTTGTTGAAGAGTCTGAATCTGCTCTCATTCAGTCATATAGTTCAGATTTAGTGTCTGAAGAATCCACTGCATTGAGTGTCTGTAACATCACAGAACCACAAACCCTCACAAATATTCAAGAAGAGTCCTTTGAAATATTTGGAGATGTTGAAAGAGTAGCAGAAGATGGAGAAGCAGACTTGCACTTAGAAACTGAATCACAGAACCAAACATTTGCGTCAACTAGTAAAGCAGAAGAAAACATCCATGATGTTAATGTTTTAGTCAGAGAAGCTGAAGTTATTGGAGGATCAGTGGACAGTAATGTGACTGCAGAGTCAGATGTGCTTCAAAAAGACTCTTTGGCTGATGCAAAATTGGAAACATCGCAAGTATCTGAAAATGCTGAAGATGTTGCAGCTGTGACCGATTCTGATCTTCTAGTGCAACATGAAGCCACTGAAGGAGCAGAAGAAACAGACTTAACTCCTGAGCAAAGTTGCATCAGCGTCATTGCTGGAGATTCTCACAGAGAAGATTCAAACTTAAAGTCAAGTCCAGTTGTTCAGAGGAGAAAAATGGGCTCAACTCGAAGACCTCTCAAAGGAAATAAAGGACAAAGAAAAGGACGAGAGCTTCAAGATGAAAATGAGACATTTAACAGTGAATTTTTGCTTAATGTAGAGAAAGAAACATTTGGTTTGGAAAATAAACCCTGTCCAGATGAATCTACATTACAAGACATAAAGGATAAAGCTGAAGAAAAGGAGAAGAAAATATGTGTGAAGAATGATGCTGTTGTTGAAGAGTCTGAATCTGGTCACATTCAGACTTCATATAGTTCAGATTTAGTGCTTGAAGAATCCACTGCACTGAGTGTCTGTAATATCACAGAATCACAAACCCTCACAAAAGTTCATGAAGAGTCTCAGAATAATGCTGGAGATGTTGAAAGAGAATCAGTAGATGGAGGCACAAACTTACAATTAGAAAGCAAGTCACAAAACCAAACATGTGACTCAACCAGTAAAACAGAAGAAAACACCCATGCTGTTAATTTTTTAGTCAGAGAAGCTGAAGGTATTAGAGAATCAGTTAAAGTGGATTGGAATGTGACTCCAGAGTCGGCTGTGCTTCAAAAAGACACTTTTGCTGATGCACGATTGAAAACATTGCAAGTATCTGAAAATACTGAGGATATTTCTGCTGTGGCGGATTCTGATCTTCTAGTGCAACATGAAGCCACTGAATTATCAGGAGAAACAGACTCAATTACTGAACAATCTGCTTTGAACATCATTCCTGGAGATTCTCACAGAGAAGAGGCAAACTCAAAATCAAGTCCGGTTGTTCAGAGGAGAAAAATGGGCTCAACTCGAAGACCTCTCAAAGGAAATAAAGGACAAAGAAAAGGACGAGAGCTTCATGATGAAAATGAAAAATTTAATAGTGAATTTTTGCTTGATGTTGAAAAAGAAACATTTAGTTTGGAGAATGAACCCTGTCCAGATGAATCTACATTACAAAACATAAAGGATGGAGCTGAAGAACAGGAGAAGGAAATATGTGTGAAGAATGATGCTGGTCTTGTTGAAGAGTCTGAATCTGCTCTCATTCAGTCATATAGTTCAGATTTAGTGTCTGAAGAATCCACTGCATTGAGTGTCTGTAACATAACAGAATCACAAACCCTAACAAAAGTTCTTGAAGAGTCAGAAAATAATGCTGGAGATGTTGAAAGAGAATCAGTAGATGGAGGCACAAACTTACAATTAGAAAGTGAGTCACAAAACCAAACATGTGACTCAACCAGTAAAACAGAAGAAAACATCCATGATGTAAATGTTTTAGTCAGAGAAGCTGAAGTTTTTGGAGAATCAGTTAAAGTTGATTGTAATGTGACTGCAGAGTCAGATGTGCTTCAAAAAGACACTTTTGCTGATACACAATTGAAAACATTGCAAGAATCTGAAAATACTGAGGATATTTCTGCTGTGGCGGATTCTGATCTTCTAGTGCAACATGAAGCCACTGAAGTATCAGGAGAAACAGACTCAATTACTGAACAATCTGCTTTGAACATCATTCCTGGAGATTCTCACAGAGAAGAGGCAAACTCAAAGTCAAGTCCAGTTGTTCAGAGAAGAAAAATGGGCTCAACTCGAAGACCTCTCAAAGAAAATAAAGGACAAAGAAAAGGACGAGAAATGCATGATGAAAAAGAAACCATTAGTAGTGAAAATATGCTTAATGAAGAGAAAGAAACATTTGGTTTGGAGGATGAACCCTGTCCAGATGAATCTACATTACAAAACATAAAGGATGGAGCTGAAGAACAGGAGACGGAAATGTGTGTGAAGAATGATGCTGGTGTTATTGAAGAGTCTGAATCTGCTCTCATTCAGTCATCATATGGTTCAGATTTAGTGTCTGAAGAATCCACTGCATTAAGAATATGTAACATCACAGAATCACAAACCCTCACAGAAATTCAAGAAGAGTCCCAGGAAAATGCTGATGGAGAGCCAGTAGATGGAGACTTTAAACCACAAAGGAAAGGACAAGAGTATCCTGATGAAAATGACAGTTGACAGTAAAAACATGATTAAAGTAGAGACACCAATCTTCAGTATGGATGATCAACCTAATCCAGATGAATTTACATTAGAAAGCTTAATAGATGGAGCTGAAGCACACAAGATTAAAATGTTTATGAAAAATGATGTTGGTCTTGTTGAGGAATCTGAATCTGCTTTTATTCAGTTATCTAATGTGTCAGATTTGGGGCCTGAAGAATCCACTGCATTGACTGTCTGTAACATAACAGAATCGCAAACCCTCACAAATATCCCTGAGGAGTCCTTGGAAATAGTTGGGGATGTTGAAAGAAAAGCAGTAGATGGAGACACAGACTTACAATTACAAACTGAGCCACATAACCAAACATTTGCCTCAACCAGTAAAGCAGAAGAAAACATCCATGATGGAAATGTTTTAGTCAGAGAAGCTGACGTTATTGGAGAATCAGTTAAAGTGGATAGTAATGTGACTGCAGAGTCAGATGTGCTTCAAAAAGACACTTTAGCTGATGCAAAATTGGAAACATTTCAGCTATTTGAAAATACTGATGATGTTTCTGCTGTGACTGATTCTGATCTTCTAATTCAACATGAAGCCACTGAAGCACCAGGAGAAACAGACTCAATTACTGAACAAAGTGGCATCAACATTATTCCTGGAGGTTCTCACAAAGAAGAGGCAAACTCAAAGTCGAGTCCAGTTGTTCAGAGGAGAAAAATGGGCTCAACTCGAAGACCTCTCAAAGGAAATAAAGGACAAAGAAAAGGACGAGAAATGCATGATGAAAAAGAAACATTTAGTAGTGCAAATATGCTTAATGAAGAGAAAGAAACATTTGGTTTGGAGGATGAACCCTGTCCAGATGAATCTACATTACAAAACATAAAGGATGGAGCTGCAGAACAGGAGACGGAAAAGTGTGTGAAGAATGATGCTGGTGTTGTTGAAGAGTCTGAATCTGCTCTCATTCAGTCATCATATGGTTCAGATTTAGTGTCTGAAGAATCCACTGCATTAACAATATGTAACATCACAGAATCACAAACCCTTACAAATATTCATAAAGAGTCCTGGGAAATAATTGAAAGAGAAGCAGTAGATGGAGACATAGACTTGCAATTAGAAGCTGAATCACAGAACCGAACATTTAACTCAACCAGTAAAGCAGAAGAAAACATCAATGCTGTTAATGTTTTAGTCAGAGAAGCCGAAGTTACTAGAGAATCAGATACAATAGAGAATAAAGTTACTCTGGAGTCAGCTTTGATTCAGAATAACATTTTTGTTAATGCAAATTTAGAAACATTGAAAGTATCTGAAAAAACTGAGGATATTTCTGCTGATTCTGATCTTTTAGTGCAACAGGAAGCCATGGAAGAAGGAGGAGAAACCAACTCAATTCCTGAACAAAGTGGCATCAGTGTCATTCCAAGTCCAGTTGTTCAGAGAAGAAAAATAGGCTCAACTCGAAGACCTCTAAAAGGGAATAATGTGACTGCAGAGTCAGATGTGCTTCAAAAAGCCACTTTAGCTGATGCAAAATTAGAAAAAGACAATGTATCTGAAAATACTGAGAGTCTTTCAGCTGTCACCGATTCTAATCTTTTACTTCAACATCATGGCACTGAAGGAGCAGGAGAAACAGACTCAATTCCTAAACAAAGTGGCATCAGCATCATCCCTGGAGATCTTCAAAGAAAAGAGACAAACTTAGAGTCAAGTCCAGTTATTCAGAGAAGAAAAATGGGCTCAACTCGAAGACCTCTCAAAGGAAATAAAGGACAAAGAAAAGGACGAGAGCTTCATGATGAAAATGAAACATTTAACAGTGAATTTTTGCTTGATGTACAGAAAGAAACATTCGGTTTGGAGGATGAACCCTGTCCAGATGAATCTACATTACAAAACATAAAAGATGGAGCTGAAGAACAGGAGAAGGAACTGTGTGTGAAGAATGATGCTAGTCTTGTTGGAGAGTCTGAATCTGCTCTCATTCAGTCATCATACGGTTCAGATTTAGCGTCTGGAGAAACCACTGCATTGAGTGTCTGTAACATCACAGAACCACAAACCCTCACAAAAACTCACGAAGAGGCCTGGGAAATAGTTGGGGATGTTGAAAGAGCAACAGTAGAAGAAGACACAGACTTGCAATCAAAAACCGAGTCACAAAACCAAACATGTGTCTCAATTAGTGAAGCAGAAGAAAACATCCATGATGTAAATGTTTTAGTCAGAGAAGCTGAAGTTACTGGAGAATCAGTTATATTGGATAGTAATGTGACTGCAGAGTCAGATGTGATTCAAAAAGACACTTTAGCTGATGCAGAATTAGAAACATTGCAAGTTTCTGAAAATACAGAGGATGTTTCTGCTGTGACTGATACTGATTTTCTAGTGCAACATCATGGCACTGAACGAGCAGAAGGGACAGACACAATTTCTGTACAAAGTGGCATCAACATCATTCCTAGAGAGTCTCACGGAGAAGAGGCGAACTCAAAGTCGAGTCCAGTTGTTCAGAGGAGAAAAATGGGCTCAACTCGAAGACCTCTCAAAGGAAATAAAGGACAAAGAAAAGGACAAGAGCTTGATGATGAAAAGGAAACATTTCACTGTGAATTTTTGCTTGATGTAGAAAAAGAAACATTTAGTTTGGAGAATGAACCCTGTCCAGATGAATCTACATTACAAAACATGAAAGATGGAGCTGAAGAACAGGAGAAGGAAATATGTCTGGAGAATGATGTTGGTCTTGTTGAAGAGTCTGAATCTGCTCTCATTCAGTCATATAGTTCAGATTTAGTGTCTGAAGAATCCACTGCATTGAGTGTCTGTAACATCACAGAATCACAAACCCTCACAAAAATTCAAGAAGAGTCCTGGGAAATAGTTGGAGATGTTGAAAGAGAATCAGTAGATGGAGATACAGACTTACAATTAGAAACAGAGTCACAAAACCAAACATGTGACTCAACCAGTAAAGCAGAACAAAACATCCATGATGTAAATGTATTAGTCAGAGAAGCTGAAGGTATTGGGGAATCAGTTAAAGTGGACAGCAATGTGATTGCAGAGTCAGATGTGCTTCAAAAAGCCACTTTAGCTGATCCAAAATTGGAAACATTGCACGTATCTGAAAATACTAAGGATGTTTCTGCTGTCACGGATTCTGATCTTCTAGTGCAACATGAACCAACTGTAGAAGCAGGAGAAACAGACACGGTTCCTGAAAAAAGTGGAATCAGCATCATTCCTGGAGATTCTCACAACGAAGAGGCAAACTCAAAGTCAAGTCCAGTTGTTCAGAGGAGAAAAATGGGCTCAACTCGAAGACCTCTCAAAGGAAATAAAGGACAAAGAAAAGGACGAGAGCTTCAAGATGAAAATGAGACACTTAATAATGAAATTAGGTTTGATGTAGAGAAAGAAACATTTGGTTTGGAGAATGAACCCTGTCCAGATGAATCTGCATTACAAAACATAAAAGTTGGAGCTGAAGAACAGGAGAAGGAAATATGTGTGAAGAATGATGCTGGTGTTGTTGAAGAGTATGAATCTGATCTCATTCAGTCATTTTATGGTTCGGATTTAGTGTCTGAAGAATCCACTGCATTAAGTGTCTGCCACATCGAAGAAGCACAAACTCTCACAATTAGTCATGAACAATTTCAGAATAATCCTGGAGATGCAGAAAGAGCAGCAGTAGTTGAAGATGCTGCTGATACTGAAGATACTTCAGAAACTGAAGCTACAGTTACAATGAAGAGCACTACAAATACTGCATCACATGTTTTTCAAACGTCTCCTAGTTCAAGCACAGATGCATTTAATATATCTACAAATGTCGAGGAAGATACTTCAGGAGACACAGACACAATTTTCAAGCAGAGTAACATCAACGTTGTTCATGAAGATATTTATAGAGGGGAAGCTCACCCAAAGTTAAGTCCAGTTGTTCAGAAGAGAAAAATGGGCTCAACTCGAAGACCTCTCAGGGGGAACAAAGGACAAAAAAAAGATAATGATGAAAAGGAAATCTCATTTCTGGAAAATGAACCCAATCCAGATGAGCTTATATACACTGCAATGGGTATCAGTGATATTTCAGAAGCTCAAACCCACGTAAAAGTTCACGAAGAGTCCCAGGACAACCATGAAGTTGTTGAAAAAGCAACAGTAGGGGAAAGCACACAATCACAAACAGAAAACAAAGTGAGTGTGTTAGTCAGAGAAGCTGAAGTTCCTGAAAATACAGTTGTGATTAATACAACTGAGGAGTCGTATTTGTTTCAATACGTCTCTGATTCAAAACTGACCATATCTGACTATGAACATGAGGCTCCAGTAATTCCAAACATAATTTCCAAACAAAGTGACTTCAGCATTCCTGGAGATTCTCACAAAGAAGAGGAAAACTCACAATTAAGTCCAGTTGTTCAAAAGAGAAAAATGGGCTCAACTCGAAGACCTCTCAAAGGGAATAAGGGACAAGGAAAGCAGAGAGAAGAATCCAAGGTAAAGAATAGAGATAATGAGGCAGGGTCAGAAGAGGAAAACACAGAAACACATTCAAAAGACCAGGAACAAAATGTGGCAAAAGACAATATGAATATAATAGATAATGTCAATGAAGAAAAAAAGGCAACAAAGGCATTGGATACATCCATGCAGGAACTATGTGAACAAGAGCAAAGATCAGATGTATCACAAACACATGCTGATACATCACAGGATGAAACCAGCTCACATTTATTGGACATCCCAGAAAGAACTGTAGATTTTGTTAGGGAGTCTACGAGTCAGCCTGATCTTGTTCTGTCTGATGTGTTGCTTATGACAGAAGCTCAAACGTATTTGTCATCAGAAGATAATGTCATGGGTAACAGTTCAATATCTATAACAGAGGTACATGAAATGCATGCAGACTCCAATACATCCAAGAGAAAAATGGGGTCAACTAGAAAGAGAGGAAAGAGGATGGTGAATGAAGAGGAAGAGGAAGCTGAAAATACAATTGGTTCTGGAGCCACAAGTTCCAAGGAGACATTAACTCCTAAAAAATTAATTGCAGAATCTTCTGTACATAAACCACTGTTTAGTTCATATGTTATTAACGAAGACCATGACAGTAAATCAGATGTGCAGACTGAGCTCTCAGATCAAGATTATCTAAATTCTACCATAAACACCGAACCAATGAAAGAAAGAGAAAGTTCTCCAGATGTTGTTGCTGAAATGGTTTCTGACTTTGCTTTGGGACATGTTGACACTGAAGTAGTTCCTGAGCAAAGGGTCATTCCTGAAGAGCCACATAAAGATCAAGCAAACCTGAATCCAGTTGTTCAAAAACGAAAAATGGGGTCAACACGTAAAACTCTTAGAGGGAACAAAGGGCAGAGAAAAGAGGAAGAATCGAAAGAAATTAATGAAGGAATGACACAGGATCAGAGTAGAGAACTACATTTGGCAAGTGAAAGTAAACTTGGTGAAGAGGTTCAACAAAACCAATCTCTTATTAATATGACAAACAATAAAGAAGCTAAGAAACCGGAGGATGAATTGGATGAAATGCCTTCAGCATCAAGCATCTCTCAATTCACAGAAGCATCCTCAGAAACTCTCAGTTCCTCATATCTTAAATCAGAAAAGTTAGATTCAAAAGATGAGAATGATTATCATGATACTTGTGAACATGAAAATGCCCATCAGATTTGCGCTGATGCTACCAAAAGTCTACAGTCGGAATCTGTTCCCATTGAGAGGAGAAGGAAGATGGGCTCGACCCGGAAAAATATTGGAAGAGAAGGAAGAATGCAAAGAAAGCGAGATGGATATGAGGACACAGAAATCATAGACACAAATCTGCAGATGTCTCACGACCCTGAAATGAGCTCATCAGGTATAACTGCAGAAGAACAAACAACTGAAGATTACTCCAATCAGTCAGAGGATTCACTTCTTGGTGAAATACAGCGAATGCTAAAAACAACTTCTCAAAGTGCATCCAATTTTGAATTGATTATTGATGAGCCGAAATCAAATTCACCAGAAGGCTCAGAAATCAGATCTCTTTCACCATCACAGAGCTTGACAACTCTAAATGATCCAAACTCTCCAGAAAGACGACGGCGAAAAATGGGTTCAACTCGCAAGAACCCTAAACGGCAGTTCAAAGCAGAAAGAGAAGATGAAGACAAAGTAGATCAGAAGACAGAGTCAAACAAAGAAGAAATAACGGAGGGGTCGCTAGTGCATAATATCACAGAAGACCCTCCAAATAAAGAGTATCTTGATGTTCCCAGTGCACACACAAGCAGCCAGCAAGAAGAGAGCGATAGCCCTGTTGTTCAAGAAAGTGCGTCACCATCAACTAAAAGGAAGTTTGGGTCCAGACGAGCTAATAAGGGCAAACTTGGTAGGCTTGAGGCATCTGATGGTATGACTGAATCAGAAGATGGAGATCATAAACCAGATGGCTCTGCTGTTGAGGACAGACAGCACAGGGATGGTTCAATGGTATGTACGTCTTTGTTTATAAAATGTCCTTTAATTTTATATTTTAATAGAAAAAAGCTTTGCTTTAAAACTAGGGTAACATTCTGTATTTATTAGAGCAAAAAACAGTTTCGCATAATATGAGTGTTTGCATTAAATGAAACCAACAAAAAAAATGTGTAGTTAAACCAAAGTAAACACAAATTTACCATGGTTTTGCTACACTAACCATAGTTTAGCCATTGCATTTGCAGTAAAACTGTGGTTATGTAATCATTATAGCAAAAAAATAATAGCATGGTTACTACATAGGGTGTGGTGGCTCAGTGGTTAGTACTGTCACCTCACATCAAGAAGGTCGCTGGGTGCTATCATTTCCCCCACGGTCCAAAGACATGTGCTATAGGTGAATAGAATAATCTAAATTGGCTGTAGTGTATGAGGGTGTGTGTATGGGTGTTTCCCAGTACTGGGTTGTGGCTGGAAGGGCATCTGCTTCATAAAACATATGCCGGAATAGTTGGTGGTTTATTCCACTGTGGCGACCTCTAAAAAAAGAGACTAAGCCGAAGGACAATGAATGAATGGTTACTACATTTTGTTTTGGTTTGGTTAATTGTTATAAGAATACATTTTTAAAACTAACAAGTTTTATGTTTTTGAAAAGGGTTGTGGTACGAGCGTCAGCTTACAACCAGAAAATCTGCCATTTTCCAGGTATGACAGAACTCTGTAGGTTATTGTATAAGTCTCCAAAATATCACTTGAAATATGATAATAGACTAATAAATTATATACTTTTTATTTCTGCTCCAGAAATTATGAAGTTGCTCCAAAAGGCACTGGTGAAGAGATTCAAGTCAGAAAACAGGACAGAATGACGGTCAATGTAAAGAACAGGGGTGAGTGATTAAAAAGTCACCTGATGCATTCTTACAGATATTAATATCTAATACACAAAATGTGTCATCTCGTTTCAGATTCTAAAGTGGTTCAGTTTAATGTGGTCATGGTGGGAAACAGCTGTGTTGGAAAGACGTCCTTCATAAGACGTTTCCATGAAGGCCAGTTCACCGAGGATTACCGCTCCACTATTGGTGAGTGTTGCCAAAGAAAGGAGAACGTCTTCTTTACTGAACTAATATGCAATCTTTTCAAATATTTGGGGCCAGCACAGTATTTTATAATTTTTTTTAATTATATAATAGTATATTTAACAGTTATGTCTAGTCCTTGAATCTGATTAGTCTCTTAACCCTTCACCCTTGTGTATTACTTTGCTCACCTACAGTACAGCAACAAGCAGAGGATACTACAGTTTGACAAATATTGTAGCTGTTGGACAACATGATGTACTGTTGAGGCCTTTTTAGTCGAGAATGTAGTTGTTTAGATTGCAACCATGCAGTTTATTCATAAAGATAGTGCCTTTTTTAAAATATTTATAATTTCTGGAAAACAGCGGCCAATGAGCAGAGCAAAGACCGTTGATGTTGTTCATCCACATAATGGCGACAGAGACTGCATAAAAGCCTTTAAAGGAAAAAACAGCGTAATTTTTTTTATTTAATTTTTTTGATCAAATCATTTTTAAACACGCAAAATACATTCTAAGTCAATCTCCCTCTTTTTTATGTTGTAGTGCTGTATTTACACCATTTAATTGTAGTGTGTTGAGTGTGAGATGGGACTCGCATATCAGGAATGTATGTGTTTTGTGTTACGTCGAGTTACGTTTCGGCTGGCCATCTGTTTGTTTTTAATGAGTCTGCTGTTTTCGTTACTGCAGACTAGTTTAGTAAACAGAAAGAAATGCCCGCATGTGTTTAGCATTTTTCCTTATCACAAACACAACAGTAATCTGGTATTGTTGGCGTTGCTTTGGGGGTTTTTTTGGGTTAATTATTACGATCTCTCAATTGCAACAGAGAAACTGGGAAATGTCTGTATGACTGATGTCAATATAATGCTGTTCAGCCCCTATAATCTTAAAATGTGAGCAAAATCACCTGTTTTGTCATCACTTTAGACATTAAGCTAGAGAATTCACTAGCTCTAAAGTGAAGTTGGTGAATTAGTAACAGCTTCTGCTGTTCTGTCGTCAGCTGCAGATGTGAAGGAATGGTGGAAGAAAGTAGTTCCTTGTAAAAAAGGATTTTGAGACTCTCCATGTTTGAATTTCTTTTTTATATACTCAATTATGCAGTCAAACTGTTGTATAAAAGCAATATCACACAAGTAGCAGTGCGATGTGACTGGTGGGACACATATGAAATTCTGTTTCTGGGTCCAAGGCAATACTCATTTGAATTGAGAAAATATTAATTTATGACCACTTTTAGTCTTATCACACATTAACATGAAATATATATAAAATCATAGTCTCTTGCTGCATCACAGACACCAATATTTTATCACATCGATTTGTAAACATTTATTATGACCATTTGCTGAGTCTCCCCATGCAGTTTGATTGAGCGCTTGGACAGCTTAACAAAATGAGTTTTACAAGTGGATATACAGTTAAAGTCAAAATTATTAGCCCTCCTGTAATTTTTTATTTTATTTTTCAAGTATTTACCAAGTGATGTTTAACAGAGTAAGGAATTTTTCACAGTATTTTCTATAATATTTTTATTCTAGAGAAAGTCTTATTTGTTTTATTTTGGCTAGAATAAAAGCAGTTTTATTTTTTTACAAACCTTTTTAAGGTCAAAATTATTAGTATTTTTTTTATTGTCTACTGAACAAACTATTAGGATTAGAAACTTGTTTCTTTCTTTCTTCAGAAATTAAGGAACAAATAAACAGGGTGGCTAATAATTCAGGAGGGCTAATACTTCTGACTTCAACTGTATATTAAAATACAATTTCTGTGATGCATTAAATCAGTCTTAAGTGTCACATGATCCTTCATGAATCAATTTAATATGCAGATTTGGAGCTCAAGATTTATTTTATTTTAATAATTAATTATTTTATTATTTTATTTTAATTTCTGTGCAATCCATGACAAAAAGGCCACATATACATTCTAATAGCAGCCAATATTCCATAAAATATGCAAGAATTGTCTGTTTTGATTTTATGGTGACTTTATAAGCGTATAAATGTGTATATTCTTACAAGAGATTTTTTTTTAAGCTGTGTATCAGTTAATTCTGTGTTGTGCCCAGGTGTTGACACTTTCGTACAGACTGTTGAGCTGCCCGACAGAACTGTTAAACTGCAGATATGGGACACAGCAGGTCAAGAGAGGTGAGACATCTGAACTAAATAGTAGTGGATGAAAAAGAGGTTTGTTGATGTGTGAATTAACCCATATCAAAATCTTCACAAGGTTTCACAGCATCACCACGCAAGTTTTCCACAAGGCTGAGGGGCTTCTGCTCATGTATGAGATCACATGTTCAAAGAGTTTCATTTCTATACGAGATTGGATCTCTCAAGCCCGGGTAGCTATCATATCTTCATATAGCCAAAATAAAACTATTCCACTAACATAATAACATGATAGAATAAAAATGATTTTGCTGAGAGACTCTATCTGTTTCCTTCCCTAAATTGTACAATTACAATGTCACACAGGAAAGGGCTCAAGATGATGTCGTCATGATGTTGCTCGGAAACAAGAATGATTCAGTTAATCGTGAAGTCCAGATTCAGGAAGGAGCAGATCTGGCCAGAGTAAGAGTTTATTATGTTTTGATGAAGTCTATTTGTACTGAAAAGTAAAATTAATAATAATGGATTGTTGTGTTTTTCCACTCGTAAGGAGTATAACATACATTTCATGGAGTGCAGTGCTGCAAACGGGGCTAATGTGTCAGAATCTATGAGGACTCTTGCTGAGTAAGACTATAATAGATTATACCAGTTATTGCTTGCATAAAATGTGCCGTCTCTGCTTGCATAATGTGTAATTTGTCTTTGCTGCTAGGTTGTTAGTGCAGCGCAAGAGAAAAAGGGAGGAACACACAACGCTGAGAAGAGAACCACAACAGAAGAAATCTGGATGCTGTTAAAAAAAAACTCCCAACACATATAAACACAACACTGTTCAAATGTTTGGGTTGGTAAGAATGCGTTAAAATCGATTACTGTTTTTTTTCATAAAATATAATTCACATTATTTTATATACACTCACAGGTCACTTTATTAGGTACACCTTACTAGTACCAGGTTAGACAGACTTTTGCCTTCAGAACGCCCTTAATCCTTCATGGCATAGATTCAACAAGGTACTGGAAATATTTCTCTGAGATTTTGGTCCATTTTGACATGATAGCTTTACACAGTTGCTGCAGATTATTTGGCTGCACATCCATGATTTGAAATTCCACCACATCCCAAAGGTTCTCTATTGGATTGAAGTGGTGGCTGTGGAGGCCATTTGAGTACAGTGAACTCATTGTCATGTTCAAGAAACTCATCTGAGATGATTTGCGCTTTATGACATGCATTTGCGCTCACAAAACTGCCGCTCACTGGATATTTTTTATTTTTGGACTATTCTCTGAAAATCCTAGAGATGGCTGTGCGTGATAAACCTAGTAAATCAGCAGTCTCTGAAATACTTAGACCAGCCCATCTGGCACAATTAACCATGCCACGTTCAAAGTCACTTAAATCACCTTTCTTCCCCATTCTGATGCTTAGTTTCAAGTGCAGCAGATCGTCTTGACCATGTCTACATGACAAAATGCATTGAGTTGCTGCCATGTATATGGCTGATTAGAAATTTGCATTAACGCGCAATTTGACAGGTTTACCTAATAAAGTGGCCGGTGAGTGTTTGTGTTTGTAATAATAATAAAAAAATAATTTTTATAATTTTAAAATAATAATAATATATATATATATATATATATATATATATATATATATATATATATATATATATATATATATATATATATATATATATATATATATATATATATATATATATATATATATATATTATTATTATTTTCTGTACATATAGTGAAAAACATCCAATAGTTTTTCCTCAAAATAATTAGCAGAGCAACAATTTTCAACAGTGTTAACAGAAATGATCAAATAATTCTGAATAATGTAGTAATGACTGCTGAAAATCAAAATCAATAGATAAAACAATGGAATGTTTTATTTTAGAAATTTGTAAAAATCTTACTGACCCCAAACAAAAAGTGAAGGCTAAACTGGAAACACAAGCTGCTTTTACAATATTGCTTAATTCTATAAATATGTACAAAGCACAGTACATTTTCTTCATTTTTATAATAATGTAACTATAGCTTTATTTAATATCTGTTAAGTGCTTTTTGTTCCTTAAAAAAACTAAACTCCCATAATTCAGTTTATGAATAAAGAAAAATCTCTGTAACCAAATTTCATGTATTATTATTTGGCACAGACTAAATGATTGAGGTATGAACTAGTCAGCCATAAAAAACAAGACACTACTTTGAATAAGTTATGAAGAAATATCAACTACAAATGTACAGAATGAAAAAAAAAAGAGTTCAGTGTTTGTGTAAACAATAGTTCCTCGTCCATTTACATGTCTATTATCTGATAAATACTAATGTACATACATATATTCATAACACAGTTTACTTAGTTATATCACGGACAGATAGGATGACTATAATAAGTAGAGTGAGGAAGAGGGCAAATGCGATGAAGAAAATCTCAGCGGCCCATTGACTGTGTGGCACTCCAGTAACGGCACTGGAGCGTTCAGAAGGAATCATGTTGGTCAGGTTCAGCATGTAGCCCAGCGTCCAACCAATATCTGTATCTGCAACCTGTAACCGGCAGACAATCATAAATGAGTGCAAATCTCCACGTCACACTGATAGGAGAAAAGGCTTTATGTCAGGAGAGATTCCCCCAAGCAAAGGTCAATGTGATTTATTGGTTTATGTGCTTGAGGATCACATTATGATGTCAGTTTATGAGCTGTTGACGTTGTGCTCTTGCATAATGTTATATTTATAATATCATGGGCTGTAACAATCTTTTTCAGTAATTTTCGATGGTATGGTGTGTTTTTAATAAAACACCAGCCATGTGACGCGATCCTGAGCGTTTCACAACAGTCCAATCACAGCGGAAGAGGTGCGGAGCAAATATCACACCAAATAACTCACAGAACATTCTGTTCTGACGACTGTTAAGGTGCAAATACTTCAACAACCACATCATGTAGCAGTAATTATTGCTCAACTTGGTGACATTTTTAATTACAAACAAATTATCTGCCTAATCTATTATTAGTAGCAGTACTGCTGATGTTCCAACACAATCTCATGGCAATTCATAACTTTTGGATTTTAGTGGCTGTCATGTGAATGTGTACGGTCTCATTCAAACATTTTAGTTTGATTTGCTCATGCCCCAATGATGGTTGGGTTTAGAGGTGTACATCTTCATATGAAATATCTGACAACATGTTAAATAGTAAAGTTTCCTCATGGGATTATTAATTTGTATTACAGCAACTAATAGAGTGCAACAGTGAGGATTCCTTCTCAATTTTTCCATACCCCAATGATTATAATAAAAAAATGATAAATCATAGACCTGTTTTGAGCTCCAAGGCTGTTAAATGATGATATTCATTCATTTCCTTTTTGGCTTAGTCCCCTAAATAATCTGGGGTCGCCACAGCGGAATGAACCGCCAACTTATTCAGCATAAGTTTTACGCAGCGGATGCTCTTCCAACTGCAACCTATCACTGGGAAACATCTATACATACTCATTCACACACACCACGGTCAAGTTAGCTTACCCAATTCACCTATACCACGTCTTTGGACTTGTGGGGGAAACCGGAGCACCCAGAGGAAACCCATGTGAACACAGAAACATGCAAACTCCACACAAAAAATGTCAACTGACCCAGCCGAGGCTCGAACCAGTGACCTTCTTGCTGATCATGCTACCCACTGTATACCACCATGACGCTAAATGATGATATATGCTCCAGTTTCCCCCACAGTCCAAAGACTAAGTGAATTGGGTAAGCTATATTGTCTGTAGTGTATATGTGTGTGTCCTAGTCTTCCAGATTGGGGGTTGAGCGTTGGACTAACATCTCACCTCATTAAAAAGCTAGATGTTACGAAACACCAGTATGGTGCAGCTAAATATCAACTTCGATTTAAATGGCCGTGAGTAAGTAAATAAGTATGGAAGTCAATGGCCGTTTGTTTTCAAGCGGAGGACGAATTAATGATGACAGATTTTTCATTATTGGCTGAACTATCTTTTTAAAGTCGTTAAGTGTACAGTCATAATAGTCAGTGTATCTTGCATGTTATTACAAGTCTTCATTTCAATTCAAGTTTGGATTGTTATGATTCTTGGGGGCAACGCGGTGGCGCAGTAGGTAGCGCTGTCGCCTCACAGCAAGAAGGTCGCCGGTTCGAGCCCCGGCCGGGTCAGTTGACATGTGCATGTTCTCTCCGCATTCACGCAAGATTCCTTCGGGTGCTCCAGTTTCCCCTACTACTCCAAAGACATGCGGTACAGGTGAATTGGGTAAGCTAAAAAATTGTCCGTAGTGTATGAGTGTGAATGAGAGTGTATGAGTGTTTCCCAGTGATGGGTTGCAGCTGGAAGGGCATCCGCTGCGTAAAACATTTGCTGGATAAGTTGGCGGTTCATTCTGCTGTGGCGATGCCAGATTAATAAAGGGACTAGGCCGAAAAGAAAATGAATGAATGAATGATTCTTTGGTTGGGTTGATTCATGGCGTATAATGTCTTTAACAAAGACTTTTTTAAAAATCCTTTTGGGACAAATTCATATAAAACATCCTTCCTGAATCAAAGCTATATTGCTGTACAGAAAAATGAATATTCAAGACTTATGTCTTTTTACCTGTTTTACAAAAGAAATTTGATCCCAGGTGTTATTGAACTTGTATCCTTTCAAGAGAATAGTAGTAATATAGTGACCAGAAGCACAATAATCTTTCAGGTATTTTGGCTTAATGGATGGATTTTCAGCAGTTAGCTGCAGAAGAAAATTACTGTCATTAACATGAATTTAGAGAATCATCATTACAAAAATATTAAGACTAATCTCAACAGGCTGTTTACTAATATACAGGATGATCATGTATTGTAATCGTCTGTGTGTACTCACAGCTGTCCAGTTTTTGCTGCAGAGAGTGTCAATAGTGGAAAGAACTTTTGTTAGTGGAGCTTTTGGAGTAAGACCGAGGAAGTCAAATGTGTAGAAGTATGCAGAAAAAGCCTGAGAAGGAGATTACACATAGTGATCAAACTTATTTTAAAGCATGCGAAACACAAATTAAAGTAAAAAATAATAACAGAGGATAATTTGTGGAAACTTTTAAACAAGATTCTGCTAATATCAGACTGCTCGGGTTGGGCTGCATGTTTTTGATTACCCAAAGAGATAAATATATTGTTCTAAAGATAAACAGATTATGAATTATCCTCAAATTAAAATGTGTTCTGCTAAATAAAACTGATTTTTAAACCAAATAATAAGGACAACCACATATTTCTACTATTTATAGAAATGATAACAATTGTTACATAGTAAAAAATATTTTCAGGCGTTTTTTAGAAAAAGGATCATTTGATGACATTTGCAAAATATGAATTAATTGTCTTTTTAAATGTTCATAATTTGTCACCATCCTTCAACATATACTGCACTGTCAACAATTTCCTCTTTACAGTAACTTACAGTAAATCAATTATAAATACTGTATCTTAGTAACTCAAACTACTGAAAAAATACTGTATTTACATTTACAGCACCATTTATCAAGCTGGATATGTGTCTACAGATTTGTATGTATATCTTTACTGTACAATGTACAGTAATTTTAACAAATTAGCTTTAAAACATAGTAACATACTGCATAACTGTCCTACAGTAAAATCCAGTTCATATTACAGTTAAATACTGTATACTTTACAAAAATCGTTAACAGTGTGATATGTCCGTGAGATCTTTTAAAATACAACAAATATAATTATTAGTAGTATTATCAATTATTCTTTATATAATTTAAAATGTGCAGGCCAGATTGTTTTTATGTTTACATTAATGCATGTACACTATAGTTGTTCTTATACTGTACGTATAGTTAAATTTATAATTTAATATTGCAATCATTTTCTTCTTGTTCCAAACCAGAGTTTTGATGCTGATAAATACAAAAGAAGATATTTTGACAAATGTAGGAAACTGGTAACTATTGACTTCCATAATACTTGTAGTTTGTAGTTTAGATGTCATTCGTGACTGGTTTCCAGCATTCTTCAAAAATCCTGTGTTCAATACAACATAAAACTAACTTTTTTTTTGGAAGAAGTAGTAAAGGGTTAGTAAATGATCACAGAAATTTAATTTTAGAATGTACTGTCCCTTTAAAATGCTTTGTGCGTGTATAAAATCACTTTTGCACATTAGATTTGATGCGGCCACCAAAAAGCATACCTCATCTTTCAACCATAAATTAAATTTTACTCCAATTGGATTATTACAATATTAGTTTAGTTTCAAAATGTCAATATAAACTATATTATATTCAAAAATGTAAGATATTATCTGTTATATAAATGACAGTCTGACAATAATTAGGTTTTCATTTCCCTCCTTACGTTAAAACTCCAAACATAAATATAAATGTAAGACTCACAAAGAATTCGCCGTTGACTGGAGGCTGATAGATGCCATTGAAGCCACAGTCAGGGGATAATGCACAACCAGTGAGATTAACAATGTTTTCTATTAGAGATAGGCAAAGGGATGAATTTCCTGTTCCCTTAAAAAGGATTGTATCCTTGGGGTTGAAACTGCTTGGTGGGACCACACAAGGGGAGTTGTAAAGTTCAGCCAGAGTAAGATTGAGATTATATCCTTTGTGGTAGCAGGGGTGACTGATAGATGATGATGATCCCGCATTCTAGACACAGCAAAGACACCATATCAGATATTCAACTGTGACATTCATCTTTTGTTTATAGACACTTTCTTTTTAAACAGGTAAACAGACAATCATTAATTAATCTAACTCTTTAAAAACCAACCTTGTGAAGGTAGGCTTGGAGTTTCTTCAAAGCCTGGTCTTTGCCGTAACACAAGTAGCTGTAAGTGTACAACTCATATTTATACCCATAAAGTTGGAGATTAAATGCTGAATTTGGGTCTCTGACTGGGTCTTTTGGGGTAAAGGAGATCTGTGTTGATGCACCACCGAGATCGAGAGCTCCAATGATCTTTCCGGCTTTAGGGTGGATCCAGGAGCCCTCAAATGTGTGCTACAGGAAAAAGCCATTAAAGGTGTGGTGAACATTTTGTGAGAAATCACTGTTGATTTTTGAAACTGACACCCAAACAAACACACTCCCTCCCTTTATTGATCCACCCCAAGTTCATGAACACACTGTGCAACTAACCGCTGACGTATCATTTAGCTCACGCAAGTGAATATTAATCAGCTTATAAGGTGTGGAAGTGGATGTGTCTTATTGATATCAACAGGTAAAATATCAACGCAAATGAACGAAAAAGTGGATACGACACAGAAGTATGTGAAAAAAAGAGGTCAAGGTTAGTCACTAGCACACATTTTCAAAAACTAAATTCCTAAAAGAAAAACTACATATTTAAAAAACAAAAGTGGTGGTGGATTGTGACTGCGAATAATATTATTGGAAATATGGAAACACATTTGCTGGATAAACAGATGCAGCAAACATTACACCCACTAGCCCATTTCACTCAGTGACTCTGATAAAATCAAAAATAGCGCTGTTCACACAAGCAAGGACGTTCAGGAATTCTTCTGGAAAAGACTGTTCACACATCCATTTCAAAATATAGGTAAATTCTGACATCATTAACCAGAAATGATCTCTAAACGGCTGTGTTTGTATTTGTAAATATGGAAAAGGTCAGGCTTTGGCTGATAGTTTCACTTTTTCAAAAGGTTTAGCATTCATGCAGCTGCTTTTTCCCAAATACATCCAAAGGCAAAAGTGCTAACTGCCAGTGGCGTCCCCAGAAAATTTTCTTAGGGGTGGCCAAGTAAGGCCACAACAAATCTTGGGGTGGCACACAAAATATTATGAATTGTGTATATATTGTGAATAAGGAGTAATGTTATATTTTTGTTTTTGGTAAAATAAATAATGAAGTTTTAATGAATTCCAATAATTACTCTTGAAATATTGTAATTTATTCCGCAAATACAAGTGCAAACCAAATAAAAATCAATATTTAGTCTAAAACCTCTTTCAGGTAAGTTATTTCTTGTACAACATACAATATATGCCATGTCCAACATTAATGAATTATGAATAATGAATATGATTAATGAATGAATTAATAAACCAAACAAAACCCAACAAAATTTTGAAAAGCAGATTTCAAAATGCATCTAGTTATTTATTTTGGATTTGTGGTTTTCAATCAGATGAAACACAAATTATTTCAAAAATAATAATTTCTTAATAAAAAGTGTGCAATCTCAGTGAATCAGCTGTGTCAGTGGCGCTGATCAATCCACAATAATTCAGTGGCTGCATTTTATTTATTCATTTATTTATTAATATCAGCAACTATCATATTGGGGTGGCCCCTTGGGGGCGCCCCTGTAACTGCAGCTAAATGTTTACACACTTCACTACATTACAAATTCTGTGAATGGATAAGTAACAACGTCGATAAAAACATGGAGGAACACTTACACATGTTGAGATGTACGTAATATATGTGCGTATTATGCTGCCCCTCACCGGAGCACTCCTTCATGTGTGCTCCGTTGTTTATTATAAGCGTTTAACAATATTTTTTTCCATAGTTGGCATTAAGAAGGAATATAGAAAGGTTATCTGACTAACATCTAGCAGCTAAATGTGTCTGGAAAAGTATTTGAAGGTTTTTATTTTTATTAAGAGCGTGGATTTGAATGTGTCTGAATGTTCTGATTGGCTGGAGTAGATGTCTTATGTCAGTGCTTTCTAAACATGAACACACTCTTTCCGGTATTTTTTCTTCTGCATTCACACAGAGCAGCATTTCGGCAAATTACCTTTAATGTTACAACTTCTCTTTCCGGAAAATTGCCAAAACTAATTTAACGGTATTTTCAAAAAGGGCCTGTTCACATATGATCCCTTTCTGGAAAATTACCCGCAATTCTGTATGTTTTCAAAGGTCTGTATGTGTGAAAGGGGATACTGACTCCATTATGCTTGCCATGTTTACTGTTAGTTACTAGGCTACCAATACTACAGTTGGCCTCTTTAAGAACTTGATGGAAGCACATCTAATTCACATTTGGGCTTTTTTTGCTAACTTTGTAAAGACTTGCTTCACGTTAGGATGGAAATCCAGCTAATGACACTAAACGCACATATCTTGGTGATTGGCTAGAAAGATGTTGTGGTGCTCAGTCTGATGGCTTAAATTTTCATAATTTACAAAGCTGGTAAAAAATATTCAAACATTATCTTCTTCCGTGCACACAGAACAGACTGCTAGCAATTATTAGCACAATCATTTATAAACAGTGTTTCTTAGAGATCACTCGCTGCACCTTTAAGTGTATTAAAAAACAGGGTGTTCTAACAAAAGCAGCAATTATGAGGGATTTAGAATCATTTCTATTTTTGATTGAGTGGCTTATCTGACTCAGTGTTGGCAAAACAACATGAAAAGCAAGACTATAACAGTATTACAGAATCTATTGTATATGTCGTCACTGGCTTTCACAGAGTAACAAATAAGTAAAGTTATCTGGGATGAGAACATAATGAATTTTGTTGCATTAGTAGTTTTATTCCACATCTTTAATGGACTGAATTACCACATAAAGTGTAGACAAAAAGCCATTATTTTAAAAAGTACAATAATCAATAGTGTCTGGATGCAGACTTGGATTTGCAAGCTGAGACTGCGTATTTCAGATATGCAATGTGAGACACAATGCACTCAATGGAGCTAGTGACATCACTGTGAGGGCGGGGTAGGGTTAGGAGCGGGTAGTATTTATGATACATGCATTTCAAATACATATTTTAAATACAAAATAGTAATTTGTATTTGATAGGGTTGATGAAAATCACTTAATACTTTGTATCAAAATACTTCAGTGTCTTGTATTTTTGTAGTTTTAAAAGTCTTTGCAATAAGTCTACAGTACATGATGACGTCTTCAGAAACGAGCCCTCTGATTAGTGCTTTCTCAGTTATTTGCCCAAGCTTGAGATCAGAACAGAGAACTGATTTATTTTTAAGTTGATCAATGATAGGAGTATGGATGAAAATTCTGTTTAAAGAAAGTAACAGACAAATGGTGAAGGTATATTCAGGATCAGGTCAACAACTATTCAATGCTAATAGCATGAATATAATGGCTGTATAGTGTACAATTTAGAATCTTTGTTTAAGAAATTAAATGGAATAAAACATCAGTCCTGAAGAACAGGACGAGGAGCTTCATCAATCTCAGTCTTGGTGCTGCAGTTGGAAATGCAGAGGAACTTTAAAAATATAAAAACACTTAAATATGGTCTACTGGTGTTTTTAGGAGAGTAATCTTCCAGTTAAAGAAGAACTGGATGGATTGTAATTTGTAACTCAAAAAGAAACACAAGTTACCTTGGATTACAAGTCCAACTCATTAACCATTAGGCCACAACTTACCCTACAGGGGAACAAAGTGGCAGAGAAAAGTTGTTTCGATCAATCATTGAGTATTTTACTAAGTCAGCTTCATGGTGTAGGAATTGATCCAATAGGTCTATTGATGGAAGTATTTTGAAGTCATAAAATACAGTATTTTATTTTGATACATTTATGGTTGCTGTATTTAGTAGTTTATTTTGATACATTTAAAATTTATATATTTTGTATTTTTTTAATACATTTCTAGGTATTTTTGCCCATTTCTGTGGGCGGGGTTAGGTGTGCACATGAAAAGCATTGCATGCATCTAACCTTGCAACTGCACCCAGTCTACATCCAGACCCCTCTCTAAATAATATTAATGTGTGCCAGTAATATCAAGGTGCTTGCTGCATACCAAGTTCAATTTTGAACTCGCTGTCTCTTCCCCTATATCTGCCCCATGCTTTCCTGTCTACACTCATTACTGTCCTGTCAAACTTAAAAGTATAAAACCCCTTATATATATATATAACAACAAGCAATCCCTCTGATGATAGACGTGTACTGTATATACAGTATCTAGCAAAATAGCCATATATTAGCATATTATTATATCATCCTATTATTATCAGCATTGTAAAGTGCACCTTACCTTAATAAAGCTCTCCAAGAGGTAGTTGGTGGTGATCCAGCCATAAGCTCCCTCCTCCATCCCTGTGAGTATTCTGGCTCCTCGGAAATCAAATGGGTAAGTTTGAATTGTTTTGGCGACCTCTGCAAGGATGCTGTCTGATTGAGTTTGGTTCTGTAAGCTGTCAAACCAATGATACAGGTTATCATTCATTTAAATTAACATCAAAGTAATCCATTACACTGATAATTTCTAAGAGTACAGCCAAATATTCCTCCATAATAATCAGCAAGATATTCAAGGGTATATTCACTTTAGAAGCCGCATGCCAGCAGTGGCACCGAGGTACACAGGTGTGGACTTCTGCTGTTCTGTTGGTATTGCTGCCTTAGCAATGTCCAAGCATTTCTTCAGACTTTCTCCCGCTCCTGCAGGGTTCTGGACATAGCTTGATATGCCATCACCTATTGAAGATAAAAACATACAGTTATTTTAACCTTGTGTAAAAAATTAATCTGCCTCGACCCAAATTTCATTCTAAATGGTGTGCTGATGCTCATTTCCCAAAAGTGGATTATGATAGAAAAGACAAGTCAACAATTTGTTCTCTCTGTTTTATTTGAGATGATCACATCTTAAGAAAATGGTATAATGGGGATAGGTGTGGGGTACAGAGAACCATCTCACTTAATGCATTAACAAAAAGAGAACAGATGTGTCAACAGCAACTTTAAATTGCAGTAAACTAAAACTATATAAAAGTTTTTAGTTTAAGAATGAGTTCATTCTGACTTGACTGAAACCAGGGAACTGCCATGTACCTCTAAGCTGAATAAACATGTTCACTGAGGTCTTCTATGTCCTCCTCATTTGTTACATAAAAGAGTCGATTTTGTATAAACTACTCACTATCGGCACATGGGAGGGAGGCCCATCCTTAAAACCTTTGTCCTGGGCTTCATTTGTTTTCATTATGAAAATGCATAGCGACGTCACATCAACCTCTCAAAACACCCTAGCAACCTCATAGCAGCACTCTTGCTATAGCATTTTTGGTGGTTGCTAAACACATAGCAAAAATGTCTGCAGATTCTGTCTTGCCCTGCTAATAACCACCAGCAACACACAAAAAAAACAACACAGAATACTTTTACTTTCACAAGCATGTACTAAAGCTTAAGTAACTACACAAAGCTCCTCAAAATCATATTAGTGCCATTCCATCCACACAGAACGCCAAATGAACTACATATATTTTATAAAACCTTTGCTTCCAATGTCAAGCCTAAACCCGCTTCACACTAAGGATTATTTCCAATGTAAAACTACTTCTCAAGTCAACGTTAAAGTTTTTTCTTCAAACTTTTCAATGTAGTTGATTGAACTCTTAGAGTCTGACTAACAATTAAAAAAATAAAATAATTGTAAAAAAACAATAAGTAAAATATTAATAATAAAAACTACATTTATTCTTGCTACTTTATTTATTAATATACAATTTTATAGTAAATTAAATGTACATTTTTTGGTATAGTTGTTCTGATAATGTTGAAGTTGACTCACCATCCACATCGCAGCTCTGTTTCTGCGACACGATTCCAGTGTTGTTTTCTTTGTTTCCCTGCCACTGGTACAGGAAAAGGGCAGTGTGGCTGGAGCCGGCATCAAAAACAATCCCGAACTGAGGAAGTCAGACAAAGAGCTTCATAAATGTGGAATGTTTATTGAGTATGATTACTTTCTTTAGAGAAATAGCACACACACATTGTGAGAGAGAACATTTGACACTAACTCTCACATTCTCACTATACCACCTTGGCAAATTCATCAAGTTTTCAAACAACTTTAAGCATAGCAGTTGTTGTTAAGCTAGTACAAGTAAGTGTTATTTTAGTACAGTTAAGGTACTGTTGTAGTTTCTATTAATTTATGTTTTTATTTAATTTATTTTCTATTTAAAGTTTTAGCATTTTTGTGTTTGACATTTTATTAGTTTTTGAATTCTTCGCATTTTTCAATTCGTTTTTTGCCAGATTGATCACAGCAAATATGTTTCCTTGTCAGCTAGCTGGTTTTGTTTTAGCTCATCTACTATTCTATGACATTAAATGATCATGAATAACAATTTAATTACAATATAATTCATTTTCATAAGGCTTTCTCTATCTTTTTATTGGACTTTATGATAATGTTATCGCACATTTGTGTTCAGATACACAGCCGACTATAGGAACAGACATGTAGGGAAGGATAATCAGAACAACAGGCAACATGGGGAGAACAGGTACTTAAATACACAGACTAATCAAACTGACGGAGGCACACAGGATCAAACACGTGTGAGACAGGACGAGGAACAAAGGAGTACAAGAGAAGTCACACCTGAACCAAATCAACACTGGGGAGAAACTGGGTCACAAACTACAAGGGTGAAAAACATAAAAAGACATGGGACACAAAAGGAAACAGTCCTGATAATGCACCCCCTCTGAGAGTTGGGGGGGTTCTGGAGGAAAGCCATGGTGGAAATCACAGAGGGCGAAACCAGGAGGGAACTGACAGAGTGTGTCCTCGCTGTAACCTGCAGCTTGATGACGTACTTGATCAGGTTTTATACATTATGGATATGCGCTCGATCGGTTGTTTCTAGAAACAATAATTATTCATATCAATTATTAAATTACTCAACACATTGTGTACTATTGACGTCTACAACTACCCCAGCCCTAAACGCAACCCTCACAGTTATTAACGTCTACACCAGGGGTTCCTGAAGATCTGCTTTCCTACAGAATTTAATGCCAACACTGATCAAACACAACTAAACCAACAACGTCAGATCTAATGGAGCACTTGTTATCAAAATTGCAGCTGAACAATGCAAGAACATATATCTCCAGGAACAGGAACACCCCATGCTCTACACTACACTACATGCTCTAAACTCTACTGTCAAAGTAGCATGAGCATTACCATAGTGAGCGTACACAATGTCCACTACGTATAGGACCTGATCAAGTTTGTCATTGTGCTACAGACTGCACAGGGTGGACCAGATGGAAAGAGAAGCCAGGGAGATGACTGGAGGAATTTGGAGGAGATGGAGCTGGAGGTAACCAGATCACAGCCATTAATATAACTGGGAGAAGCCATGGAAGAGACAGAGCTGACAATTTTAAGGGGACGTATGCTGGAAAGGTAAGTGGTGGAGGCTGACTGGTAGAACTGGGGCATGGTCAACTGAACTGGTACCCAGAGGACATTCAACAGGATAGGAGACCAGTGGGAAACTAGAAAGGATGAAGACTGGTGGGGAATCGGCATAATCCTTTGGGGCTACAGGATCTAGATTTGGGCCTGACAAACAATGGCTGCAGAAAGTCGATTCTGGGTTTCACAGACCACCTGCATGTTAACCTGCCCCAGTTGTTCCAGTCAACTCGCCCTTCGCTGTGTTGCAGTGGGCAAGAGCTTTCCTTTGAGGCTTCAGCTACTGGCTTAAGATTTCCACACAGTGCAGCAGGGAAATGATGGGCTGAGTGCTGGGTCTGGAGAGGCACTGGTGAGGCATAGATCCCTGTTCACCATCTGGGACCTTGCTAAATATCCACTCCACAAAGACAGAATGGTGCACACAGTGTTCAGGATAATAATGTTTAAAATGCACAGAGTGTGTCGTCTGGGTAGCTGGTGGAGTTACTGAATGACAGGACCTGTCTTTTCAACACAATCTCACGGCAATTCGTAACTTTTTCATTTAGTGGCTAATTCGTACAAATTCGTACGATCTAATTTGTATATTTTAGTACGATTTGCGTATCCCCCAATGACGGTTGGGTTTAGGGGTGGGGTTAGGTGCCACGCCTCCTTTTTAAAATGGTACATTTTCTTACGACTGAATTAGCCACTAAACTGCCAAAACGTAAAATACTTAATACTTACGTTTTCTCGTGAGATCAGGCTGGTCTTTTATGATCCGTTAAACACAATGTCTCATTCAACAGGAGTAGGGCAAAACAGGACAAAGGAAGGGGTCAAATAATAACATAAACAAAAACTCTGGGAAAACACATGGAAATGAAGTGTGGTAAACAAATGTTACAAACTGTCAAGGTCCGGTCTTCTGTAACGGATCTATTGGAAAACGAAACGAGGAGCAGATGAAAATGAAACTATTGTCATATTTAATAGATAAGCACAGAGTACATACACATCCAACTAGACACAGTCGGACATTGTGCCTAGGAATAGACTAATCAGACCAGACGGATACAAGAATCCGGCTAAAACCTAATCAAGCGGAGACGGGCGCCGAGGATCAAACACAGGTGAGAGATGAAAAACACTAATATAGGCAGGAGGGTAACAAAGAAGTAAAAGACAAGATACACTTGAACCAAGTGATCATAATCAACACTGTGGAGAAACAAACACAGAACACAAGGTGTGAAAAACACATGGGACACACAGGAAGACGCAGAATCCTGACTGCCGTTTAATAGAGAAGATTTTTTAAAAACATATTTAAGCATAACAGTTTTAATAACCAGTTTCTAATAACTAATTTCTATGTAACTCATAATAAATTTTGTTTATGTCATGATGACAGTACATATAACTGTATTTACTTGTTGTTTTAAACAGGCCCAGCTCCAGCTTGGAACTTTAGGGTGGGCCAAGTGACATTTTGGATGGGCCAAAAAAAAAAAAATAAATAAAATAAAAATAAAATAATAAAAAAAAAAATATATATATATATATATATATATATATATATATATATATATATATATATATATATATATATATAAAGACAACAATTATTTTAAAGGTAATAAAATAATTTAAAGCATTTTAAAAGAAATGTATTTATCTTTTTAAATGTGCACTGTCATTTTAATAAGAGCAAGCTAACTTTTTATTTAAAAACTATTATTTGTACTCCAGATTATATTTATCTCAGTCTTTGCTTGCTTAAGTAATGTTTGCCAAGTTTTGCAAGAAAACTCCAGAAAACATGTTGCTCTCCATGAACTATATGGGTGATTCTATTGCAGGTACATTTAGTGACCAAGGCCATCCTTTTTTTAGCTTTTAAAAAATTGTTACATCTTACATTGTGACATTTTTGATTATTTATAAAATGTGTTCATCATTTTCAAAGATCATATTACCAAAAATCATAATTTTTTAATGTTTGAATGAGTCAGTGTATTTTTCCATCATTGTGCAAAAATATTTTATTTTGCTTTTCTTTAAACAAAAAAAGAAAATCACCAATATTTTAATTTTAAATGTTTAAACTGTAAATTGTGAATACTATTACCACAATTACAAAAGGAAAACTGATTATTTCATTAATCACATATTGGACAATTTAAAAATATTTTAATCCCGATTTCATTAGTATCATGTGATTTTTGCAGTTATAGCAAGTAGAATGTTTGGCTACAAACTTGTAAAACTAAATTGTTACTGTCGATTCAGTTCCAATTTAGTACCTACCACCATTAAGATTTTTCTGGCTATGATTTATTATCATTTCTAAACATTACTAAAATTATCCATGACAGAGTTGACAAACAATAAAAAAAACTTTTACTCCCTAAAGTTAAAACATTTAATAATTTATGTTCAGCAAAAGCTGAATTATAAAAGATAAATTTGCTCTACAAGATACTGGAAATAATTGCTTTAAAAGAGTTATATTCCTTAACTTTTTTAAAATGTAAAATATACATGCAACAGAATCACCCATCTTGCTTTTAATACATATAATAATCTTTACAATAGCTGTGTTCTTGTTGTCACTATGCTGGAATTTACAACTTTGAGATGATACCTTCAAAAAATATCAACATTCCATACCATTTTCTATATTTTGTGATTTTAAAAAATCTTAATGTTATTATTAATTATTATTTATTGCACAAGAACCAATATGGACATTTGTATTTTTTTATAACTAAAATAAACAAATTTTTGAATAACTTTGCATTTTAGCCTATACTTGTTAGTGGTAGATAATACATCACCATTTATAGCCTATCAAAAAACATTTTTTTTTCTGAGTTTCATTCATTTTCTTGTCGACTTAGTCCCTTTATTAATCCGGGGTCGCCACAGCACAATGAACCGCCAACTCATCCACCACGTTTTTACGCAGCAGATGCCCTTCCAGCCGCAACCCATCTCTGGGGGACATCCACACATACACTATGGACAATTCAGCCTACCCAATTCACCTGTACAGCATGTCTTTGGACTGTGGGGGAAACCGGAGCACCCGGAGGAAACCCAGGGAGAACATGCAAACTCCTCATAGAAATGTCAACTGAGCCGATCGAACCAGCGACCTTCTTGGTGTGAGGCGACAGCACTACCTACTTTGCCCCCTTGAATTAAGAATTTGAGTTAAATAGCCCAATAACAGAGCGACTATGATAATTAGAGAGATTTAAAGGGAAAAAGGACAACACCTCAATCGACAGCACTTTACAGGGCTTTCGTATTTAATTAATCGAGTCAGTGATATTGAAATGAAGATAGTCACTAACCTCTCCAAATTGTTTATACAGATGAGGGACGCAGCAGCGCGCGTCAAGAGAAGAGCGCGCGTTTGGAGAGAGCAAAGCGAAAGCAACATTATGCGTGGATATGTTTCGAGAAATATTGATGTTTTAGACACACACTGCAGTAAAGTGCTTTGCACTCGTGTGTGAATTTTGTATGTTACACTTTGCATGAACTTTACAACTAAAACTGCCAGTGATTTGTCCGTTTCTGTGCGTCATTAACAGATATAACAGAAGTGAACTTAATATTTGCTCTTTCCGTGAGAAAAATGCTATAATATTTAAGCGGGTCCAATACATCTCCCGAATATCCCACTCAGTTTTGAACTGTTTGTGTTCTTTAAGACTTCCTATTGTATGAATTACGACTGCATAAAATGATATTAAAGGAAAGTGCGATTTGGTAATGCGCGCTCAGACGCGTGATGCGCACAGAAACCTGCACTCTGTCCTGAATAGTTTCTCTTTCATCTTTTGCAGCCAAAATTGTTTATAATTATTCAAACATAATACTTTAATCAAGATAGTAAAGGAGTTTGGCTTGCCAAAGCATGTTTTCTGAAGCTGCACGGCCACCTCTTATTCTGCTTTCTCAGTTATGAAACGCATCAGGAAAAAAAAATTGTTGTTATCTGATGTAGGGCCAGGGTGGGCCAAGCTTCTGATTGGGTGGGCAACCCAGACCCCCCAATCACCCCCCCTACCTCGTGGAGCCGGGCTTGGTTTTGAAAGATACTAGTTTTCAACTTAAAGTACAGTTTAAAGGCATAACTAGGTTTACTTGGTTTTCTTGGCATGCTTGGTTAAATAGGCAAGTCATTGGATAAGTGGTTTGTTCTGTAGCCATTAAAATATATTTAAAATATATATTTTAAGGGGTAATAATATTGACTAAAATAAAAATGCTCTCTTTCCAGCCAAACTAAAAGAAATAACACTTTCTCCAGAATAAAAAATATAATAGGAAAAACTGTGAAAAATGCTCTAATAATCATCACTTTATCTGAAATATATTTTAAATGATTCAAATGCATTTATAATAAAAGAAAATATCAAATAATTTTAATATATTATCAACGTAAAGGGACTAAGCCAAAAAGAAAATGAATGAATAAATGAATATTATCAACGTATATTATGCGACACTTATGCATATAAATCATGCAACACCATGGCTGTTTTGTTTTTGGTTATTATTTAATTATGCTTATATTGTCATTAGCTGCCATGCACATATTATAATAAAAACATTGACTAATGTTGACATCAGTTTAGGATGATCTACATTTAATAAACAGCAAGCAGTGCTAGTAACAAAAATTTACTTTGCACACAATTACCTTGTAAATGCCTACTTTAACAACAATGCTAATTTTCTTGACACACAACTGCTGTTAAAAAATCTTCACAAAACCACACTGTAAGTGACAGTTAAACTTAAACGTCTTCGCACCTGTGTTGAGTATGGCTGATCCAAAGTCTGCCGGTTTGCAAGAGCCAGAATCAAAGCGATGATGGTTGTCACAGCCACGGCTGCCATTGCAGCACCCAGCAAAATAGCCTTCATATGAACCATTTCTGCAGTCTGTCCAAAAACAAAACAGCAAATCTGCACTACATGTACTTAAAGATTGATCCACAGTTAATTTCATGACATGCCAAAGTGATTATTTTATTATTTATCCCTATCTGTAACAAACGTAAGCAAAACACACAAAAACAGTACATTACGTTAATTTAAAGTTTAAAGACTGATAATCTGTCAGTTTTTATGTAATTCAGAAAGGGTTCCCAGATTTTATCAAATTATTCAACCTAATAGGTAGGCAATGTCTTCTTTTCTAAAGGTATACAGATGTAAACCTCTGACAAATGCAATTCTTGTTTGTTATTTACTTAGTTTTAATTAGTTAATCAGGATTCAACTGTTTGTTTTGGGGTTTAACAAAACAAGGCTTAAAATGATAATGAAAAGGGTTTATTTGATTCAACTCAAAATGTAGGCAGTAAGATTTATTTTAGTATTTAGTGATTAATATTTCCAATTAAAGGCAATACATTTAGCTATTATTGACACAATTTCAGTAATCCTATAACGGGACTGTGTCTAAGCTTAGAGTTGGTAAAATTACCCAAAAGGAAATCCATCAAAAAATGCTCGTATCTTCCATATAATATTATATACTCATGTCCAAAACAAAACAAAGTGAAATAGCACTCAAATCCACGTTCAGACACGTTCATTCGTCATTGCTTTGTTTATAAATCTAAGTTTACAAGTTTAACATAATCAATGTTTAACCAACATCTACCCTTGATGTTTGTTGTTCAAACCAGATTTCACACCTTGAAACAAAAGTGTCTTACCTTTTTTCCTTTCTTTATGAACAAAGTATATCCCGTATATTGAAGCCAGGTATATGGGATGTTGATTCCTCCACACCTTTACTCCAGCCGGGCCTCTGGAAACTGAAGTTAAACTCCCACTTCCCCAGTATATCTTCAGCTCATTACACACACACACACACATAACAGCACACTCACCAACTTTTCCTCTACACACACATACATACACACACACACCCTGCTTTACAACCTCAAAGCCTGACTGGCTCGAGTCCAGTTATATTACTGTCACAGGCTGAATAATTTCCAGCAGGTTTTACTTGAAGAATTTGACAGGATGTCCTCTGATATGTGGGAACTGAAAAACAGCCCTTATCTCAATCAAACTGAAACCATGCACTAACCTTCTCCACCAATAACAACTGTTACTTAATAACTAATCTCTCTGGGTATCTATTGTGTTAAAGTCCTTGGTTTAACATTGTAGCACAACACACACACAAACATGACTTTTACTGATAAATGCTCTCTTACTATTTGTAGCAAAAAGTATTGATAACATTTCTGGATGAAACTCTCTCAGAATGTGAACCCTTTAGTAGCCTCTACGTATTTCATTTTGGAAGAAAGTTATGTGGATCGTATTTAATTAAAATGACTAAAAGTTAAGCAAACGCGATGTATCAAAACAAAAGATAAGTCATGTTTATCTGATGTAAACATCATATTTTTAAAGCATTTATTTTATATTTATTCATTTAACTGTTTTGTCTTCACCTCAAAACTGTAAAAGTTTGTTTACTAAATTAATTTGCGCAAACCTGTTTCTTCAAAGGCAAGGTTCACCCAAAAACAAAAATTAACACAGATTTTTTCACCATGCTCCAAAAAGTTTTGAGTTTTTTTTTCTGTTGAAGACAAAAAAGGATATTTTGAAGAATGTTGGAATGCAGCAGCCATTGACTTTCATTTTGTTGTTAATAGGTAACAGAACTCTTCAGACTATTTTCTTTTGCGTTCAACATATAACGGAAATTCAGAAAAGTTTTCAGAAAAAAAGTGTGAATAAATTGTGAGGAAATTTTCATTTTTGGGTGAACTATCCCTTTAATTCAATGAAGGACTATTAACCTTATTGCAAGTGTCATTTAAGACTTATTTAATTACATAATAAAATGATTACTTATAATGAGTCGCTTTTTTTTTCATTTATTCAACTTTTGTTTAATCTGAAAAAGATTGAGATTAATAATCTCTTTTTACAGCAGTGTCCTGGCCAAAATGAGCAGCAAGACAGACATAAGAGCACATATACTTAGACCATTTACGTTTAGTAAATAGAGCTCTACACTCATCAACCACTTTACTGTACCTCTAACTACGGTTGGACCCACTTTTGCCTTCAAAACTGTTTAATCCTTCGTGGCATAGATTCGACAAGGTACTGGAAATATTCCTCAGAGATTTTGGTCCATATTGACATGATAGCATCACACAGTTACTGTTTGTCTCCCATTCCACCACATCTCAAAGGTGCTCTATTGGATTGAGATCTGGTTACTGTGGAGGCCATTTGAGGACAGTGAACTCATTGTCATGTTCAAAAAATTAGTCTGAGATGATTTGTGCTTTATAACATGGTGCGTCATTCTTCTGGAAGTAGCCATCAGAAGATGAGTACACTGTGGTCATGTGGTCATAAAGGGATGGACATGATCAGCAACAATACTTGAATAATGGGACCAAAGTGTGATAAGAAAATATCCCCCACACCATTGCACCACTACCATCAACATGAACCGCTGATACAAAGCAGGATGGTTCCATGCTTTCTTGTTGTTGACACCAAATTCTGACCCTACCATCCGAATATGGCAGCAGAAATCGAGACTCATTAGACCAGGTAATGTTTTTCCAATCTTCTATTGTCTAATTTTGGTGAGTCTGTGCAAATTGTAGCCCCAGATTCCTGTTCTTAGCTGATAGGAGTGGCACCCGATGTGGTCGTCTGCTGCTGTAGCACTCCCCTCCAGGTTTGATGTGTTGTGCAACCAGAGATGCTCTTCTGCATACCTCAATTGTAACGGGGGGTTATTTGAGTTACTGTTGCCTTTCTATCACCATTCTCCTCTGACCTCCGGCATCAACAAGGCATTTGATAATTTCTCTTTTCGGACCATTTCTGTAAACCCTAGAGATGGTGGTACGTGAAACTCCCGGTAGATCAGCAGTTTCTAAAATACTCAGACAAGCCTGTCTGGCACCAACAACCATGCCAAGTCACTTAAATCACCTTACTTTCCCATTCTGATGCTCTGTGTGAATTGCAGCAGATTGTCTTGACAATGTCTACATGCCTAAATGCATTGAGTTGCTGCCATGTGATTGACCGATTAGAAATTTGCATTAACGAACAATCGAACAGGTGTACCTAATAAAGTGGCCGGTGAGTGTATATTTTTATTTACTCGCATTAACACTACTACAGTTTCTGGAGCCACATATCACTGTCTAAATGTTAATTACAATGTAGTTGTAATATTTAATAAACTTATTAGCAAAAAAGAAATGTCACTTTTAACTATTTATGAATAAGTATTAGTTAGCAATAGTAGCTTACTGTATGTACAGCATATCTGGATACTTGTATATTGACATAAGTAAACATCTCCATGTCCCCATTTTCTCAAAAGGCTTTTAAATTATACAGAATTAGTTATTCATTCACACATGCATATATTAAAAGCAAAATGTATTAATATGTAACTTTTTCTAAAAGTTAAATCATTAAATGTTATCATTCTCTTCACTGATTCCAGTAAAAAAATAGCTGTTATCTGCTATTTTTAATGCTAAAGTCAAGTTTTAATTTAACATATTTAATATTAATGTACAGAAAAACTGTAATTCCATTGTAGGCATAACTCACTTCCAGCATAGACAGACGCTATGGAAGTGGCCGAGGTGTGACAAACACTCTCATTTGTCCTCTTGGCTCAATCGCCTCAGCATCTCGATTGAGGGATTTGCAGCTTACCATGTACTTCCACACAAAGAAGCCTAATTGCTCACAGTCACGCTCCATTTTAAATTAGCGAGCAAAATAGACACGCTTTGGTCAGGACGTATCATAAATCACCCCTTAAATCTGCCATGAATACGTTGTGCTTGTTCTGAATCACGCCATCACACCTGTTGCTCACTCCCTTATGTGTTCAGATGTGTATGTTCTGAACATTCCAGCCAGAAAACAATAGAGATATGCAATAGCAGCAAATGGCAGGTGCATAAATGTCTGTCAAATAATCCTGTAGGGACCGTGACATGCTTTTATTTTTTTAAACAGGTTTAAGATTCGTTGCTTGAGGCACTTGATGTTCAGTTCACTGTGAGAAGAAACACAGTGTTATTTTTAATGAAATCATCATTCAACATTTGAAGGTATTTGATTTCTGGTTGTACTACACTCGAAAAATGAATCACAATTGAGTTTATCATTAACTGTAAGCTTTTAATTTGATTTAATTTGTCAGTTTTTTAAATAATGTATGTCGTCAGATTCCTTACAATCAAACTAAATCTGTTAAAATTGAATACTATTAGATTTACTCAGTTAAAAAATATGAATATGGTAAAAATATTTGTAGCTGTAAAAAAACAGATCTAATTAGCTCAATATGAGATGAGATAAGGTTTACTTAATATTCTGGGTCAGTTGCAAATTAATGCAGCTCCTTGGATTTACTCCGGGAAAGCAACATTGATTGGATGGGAGAATATTAGTACTTAATTGGTTATTATTACATAAATACATTAAATATTGTTACATAAATCCTGTTCTTACATGTTTCATATATGTTAAACTAACAAGTATCAATCACATAAAGTTTATTAGCTTAATTATCTTACAAGTATGTAATCCAGATGAATAGAAAATGTACATGCAATCACAATACATCCATCTTATTTGTCAGGCCTTAATATTTTTGAGTGTAGTAGAGCTAATAAAACAGTGTTTTCCAGAAAAAAAATAAAGGTGCTTAAACATCAAAAATCTAATCAGAATCAGGGAACAGGTATTATTGTAGCAGGAAGAAAGATTACGACCAAAAAAATGCAGATTACAGCAGTCACATATGAGTTTAAAGTGTAAATAGCCTTGCTTTGACTGCAGGCAGCTACAGGAAATGATAATTCTCTCACAGATCATTACTAGTCTCTCAAAAGACATCATTCGGCTCTGACAGGACTTCACCAGTCTCTTAAAAGGACTTTACAAATATCTCAAAGAACTTTGATAATTTCTTACAGGATATCACTGGTCTCTCACAGGACTTTAGGCTCTCACAGGACATCATTAATCTCTCACAGGATTTTACTAGTCTCTTACAGGATTTTAAGCTTTCACATTTTACTAGTCTCTCATTGGACATCACCACACATCAATTAGATTTAGGTCAGGACTGTGGCCTGCCATTTCATTATTTCAGTGTTTTCAACTTCAAATTCCTGCTTTACCTGTTTGAATGTGAACATTATGTTTTCCACTGGACCAAAGTGAACTTTGAATCAGTTTTCTATCGACACATCATGCACCACGGAAAAGGCCACTCTAGGGTTTGACTCTTTCTGCTGATAGGAAGTTTGGACTACAGTGACATAGTGATATTGTAAGAATGCAATATTCTCAAAATCACAAATTTGGAATGACCAGCGACCATCTTTCAGTCAGAGAAAACTGACCCTGCCAGGTAAACAGGGTCAGATTATTAAAAAAAAAAAAAGATCATCAGATTCAGATTAACATCAATAACAGCGAGAAATCTGAAACTGCTGTCTAATTTTGATCATATCCTTTTTTAAATATCTCATTTCAGAAATGTATATACCCTGGATATCAGAATATATGTAAGTTATGAAATATTGCTCTTTTACTCCTGTTAAACTACATTTAAATATGACTAAGCATTGACCTCGATCTTTAGAAAATTGTTAGTTGTCTGATTTGCCTTGTAAATGACTTTTTCTTACTTGCTATTTAACTAATATTTTAATTGGTCATATATAGTAATGTTACTACCTAATAAAATACTCCTCCACCCAACATGACATATAATATACAG